AAAGTTTTTTTCTGTAGTTATCTTTTCTATGGCACCTACTTCCTAGCTATGTTAGTTGGATCAGTAAAGAACGCCTCACTTTTTCAAAAATTAACCTTGAATTTGATCGGTTTTGGCGTGTTTGATTTGGTCAGCATTAGATTCCATCCACCAAAACCACCTTGGTCGAGAGGGACTGAGATGGAATGATGGACAACTCATGACTTGTTATACTAATTGAAAATTACGAAGCTACGATAACATGCCGACTTATCCCGATGATCTAAGTGTATTATTTGTTTGGGAAATTGCGTCAAAACTTTTTACTCAAGAAATGGTAAGTATTAATTTATTGTTCGATTGTAGTATTATAAAACATTTTACGCAATTTTATGCAGATATTTCACGTATTTAAAAGGTGCCCAGATGTTACGTAGTTTTGGTGGATGTCATTAGGGAACATCCACCAAAACTTTGACCAAAACCATCAACAATAAATTTTTTTTAATTTTAGCTATAGCCACTGTTAGATGTTCAGGGAGACAAAAGATTTATACCAATAATTAGCAGTTAGTGCTCTGGCTAATTATTTTTTATGGTGCACAATTGCTGACCGACCAAACGTTCATGATGATTATCATAACTCATAACACATAGAATAAAGTGGTTTTGGTGGATGTTTCTCTCCATCCACCAAAACCACCATAGCAATTTCTGCTACTTCCTTACAAAAGACTGATGTGACCTGCTATTTGGAGTACATAACCACAATCTATTTCTTTGTATGTAGAGATATTTTGCAAAGTTCTTGAGTCAGCACCTTTTATTACTGAAACCATAATCATAACATGGTACACAATATAGAATGCAAAAGGTTCTGGTGTGGCAATCATGTAATCTTGAAACAGGAGAGTTTTTAACTGACTTAAACTGACTTAAACAGACATTTGCAACAAAATCCCAGGTCCAGAAATTTCTTCCACTATTTCTGCTAAAATCATAACCTTTAAGTACAACAAATCAGCACATCAAAAATTGTTATCAGAGGTCTGAAAATCCTATAAATCTTTCACATTTATTTCAAGTAACCTTTAATTTCACATGGATGAATAAGTGTACACTCAAGATGCAGAATGTCTTACATTTTACAAATTATTTCCCTTTTTATGGATAGACAGTGAAAGGCCTTTGCCACATTGGTGAATCAAACCATTGTATACCATGCATTTTGTGATAATTGTTTGTTTTTGCTCACAATATCCAGAAAAATGGAGGGGATAAATTTAAATAGCAAATTCTATTAATGGTTAAAATTAAATAACATTGGAAGATCAAATTAACTTTGTACTGTTTAAAATTCAGTTTTGGTTTCTTGCTTATTCCAGCCTCTTAATATTCAAAAGCATTCCTTGTCATTTTTGTGTTCTTTTGTGTAACATAACTTGAAAAACAAACACAGAGAAAGGACACCACAAAGGATTAAACTTGAAGCTAAAGCAAACTTTAAGTTGAGCCATAGCTGATCCAAATACTGAGCACTTTATATTGTAACCCATTTAGCAGTAAAGTTTATCTAGTATATGTCTGCCAGCTTGTCACAAGTCTTACCCCTCTCCTTCAAAAGTCTCTATAAACAAATTTTTCTTTGTGGTCCCTAATTGATGATAAGTATATTACAGCTCCTCAATTTCCCTCTCTCAAGACAAGGTTACTCTAAATTTAACAAAGTAATGGACTTGATAAAACTCAAACTATAACTCAGTTGGCTGCTACTTGCAACCTTAATTTCTTGATATCAGTATACAATAATCAATATGTTATAAATAAGAACGCTAATGCTTAATTTTGCAGTGATCACCTTCCTCCTTTTCATTTGCAGACCAGACTGGAACCTCTATAAGTGTGTCTGCTTGTTTTGAGTGGGGATGGAAGAAAAGGAGTCATGCCGCTTATCTGATTTATTAAACCAGATTTGTTCTGTTTATACATGAGTAGAACTACCTTGTTCTCTGAAAAAAATAAAATTTCTCGCATTTTTATCTGTGTTTTGCAGTCAAACTTCCTTGTGTCTTGGACAAGAAATCTTATTTTCTTGAAAACAAAATCTTTGTTTCCAGCCTTCTGTAATAGGTAAATATAACAGTGTAAGATGAGTGACAGTGTATTTCTCAATTTATTTTTTGGAATGTGACAAAACGGAAGTGTCATAGTGTGATAAGAAGCCAATATATGATTGCTTGATAGAAAGCAAAAAATGCAGAATTGCATATATTTTCTCCTTTGTCAGCAGCATATGTTAGTGAAAAGTTCTTATAATTGTTAACTTCTAACCATCTACAATTTAGCCAAGATTGAACTGTTATCACGTTTGTCATAAAAGTATTCTGAGATCAATGTCATATGACCTATTCATGTATTTGACCTTTCGAATTAGCAAGCCATAGTTGACAGTAACACAAAGGTTGAGGATAAAAAGAAATTATTATATACAATGCTTCTTCTGCATATTTTCGTTTCCTTTTCTCTCCAGCTGTTCTATCTATGCCGTGCTGGCAATTGAACACTTCCCTTCCCAAAATTAGGAAAGGCACACCAGTAAAAAACGAATTTTTGCTCCTTACATATCTCATGCATCTTCCCCGAGTATTTTGTGACTTCTGTCCGAGGAAGGAGGTGTAAGCATTAAGTCAACCCGAATGATTCCACAATTGTGGTATCATCCAAGCCATGCCAGAGGACTTGAACTAGATAAACTAGTGAGAATGCACAATAGCGATAGCAAAGCTTTGTAATGCCAAAGAGCTATATCAATATATATATATATATACACCGGTGTTCCCGAAACCTTTGACAGCTTTAGAGAAAGAAAACTTCGTCGTCAATCCTGTTTCAAATTCCGCAATAAGTTTACGCGCCTCATCAACAGAATTGACGTATCCTAAATTATCTGCATGTCTACCATCAAGCAATGGTTCGCGACTTAAAATTCACGCTATGCTGTTCCTCAAGAATCATGGGATTTACAGCTTCGAATGTTCGGCTACATCACTTGCAGATTTCCGAGAATCTTCGGTTATGTTTTGCAAGTCATTAAATATTCCATCTCAGTCCCTCTCGACCGAGGTGGTTTTGGTGGATGGAATCTAATGCTGACCGTTTGATTTAGGCGAACCGATAAGGTGTCATTCAAGTCTTCCTGTTTCCTTGATTGACACGTGATGTTTACGAAAGTCGCCTCGATAGATAAGATAGAGTTAATATACATGGCTGTGGTATTTGTTTTTTGCTGAGTTCCGTAGTTTTTTGTAAATTGTCCTCCAAAGTTGTATGAAATTAAAGTCTTGAAAAGTGTCACGACAAGCCTTCGCTCGAGTGAAATTTAATTTCCGTAAAACTCTGAAACATAAAGAGATCCGATCAAACTGATTGTGGTTTTAGTATAGGTACATGAATGTCTTACAACACACGAGAAACGAGCGAAATCCGTGTCTCAAGCAAATTCGACCGGACCGCTCTTACAGAGACACTCTCTTAACACTCCATAATACTTTTGCAATACACTGACCAACAATAAATCGCCCTTATCGATCAATTTACCGTTTCACTATGCGTGCAACCCAATGTACAATAATCTATTTAATGCCCCCCCACGAGAAAGAGAAAACAAGTCGCCAGAAATCTTGAGATATACCGAGGAACCAACTCCACCGGAAAGACGTACGCCCTAAATTTCATGCAAGCAAACCTTGGTATTACTTCCTTACCTTTTACATTTAAGGCCGCGTTCTGACTCATGCCCAGAGTTTTACCTTTCCTTTTGGCCACACATCTATAGTTCCCTCGATCCTTAAACTTAACGTTAGATATTTCTAACATTTTACCATCGTCCTTTTTAACAAAACGACTGTCTCCTGGTAAGAATTGATTATTAAATTCCCAGTCGTACTCCTGTATCTTTTTGGTGTATTGCGCCGAACAAGAAAATGTAGTAGTGTCGCCTTCCTCCACAGTTTGTGACAATGGTTGAGTTTGCCATTGTAGATTTGCTGACAGCGATAGTGGGAGATGCGATCCTGAAGAAAAAGGAGTGAAAAGCACGCGTTAGAAAGACGCGAAAAACATTTCTCTATCTCCTCCATCGGGAGTAAATTAATTCCCCACCGCGAAGCGTTCGATCATCTACAATTGACAACAGCCATATTGCTGAAAGAATCATGGATCCCTCCGAGCGCTTCTAATAAGCTTCTTCAAGCAGTAAAGGGAACAAGCGAGAAGATTACAGACAACAAAGCAAACGCCGCCGATTATGCGAGCGCACATTTGCTTTTTCTTTCAATTACGAATTGGTCACAGACAACAACTCTAGATTCTATAATCGAACTCGCTACCATCTCAAATACACACAGATAGAAACTTCAAAGTGCTTTCCTATTAAATTTACCTCGGTTTTGACCAAAGACATGTCACAATAACGGGGACAGAACACAACGTTTGACCTAAAAATACCTTATACGAGTAAGATAGCTTGCAAAAATGCTATAATTTAGGCACAAATGCTTACCTAACAAGACAAAACAGAACCAAACCCAAAAAGATCTCAGTGGAGGTACGTGTCTATTGCAATCAAAAGGTGGATCCATGACGTTTGTCGATCATCAAACGAGACTAAATGTGCAATGAAACTGGCGAGAGAAAAAATTCTCCTTGCCTAGCATGAAGACCTTCACTTCCGGAAATACATTCCATCGCGGAAAGCAATATCGTTCTAAACCAGATGAGCCCACGACATATCAGCGGCATCTTGTATGAGTATCCGCAGTTTACAACGTGACTTCCGCTTTTTCTTCTTGACGCGTACTCACAGTGTACTCGAGTGTTGGGAAGTTGGCGTAGTGCGTCTGAGCCAGTTTCTGCCAGATTTGAACAGAAAAACAGGTCCTTTGTTGGACTGTAATGATACTTTGATCGATGGCGCTGTTAACGAAATGTTTGGCCGGTTCGTAAGTTGTCAACCTGGTTTCGGTCGATCTGATTGATTGGCAACACCTCTGAAATCCTACACACCATCGACCTAAACCTCATAGCTGCCAAGTGAGAAGAACAATGACATCAGAATACTCGAGAAAGATAAGTATTAATTTTAACTGCATTTGTGTTAAACTTATATGTATAGAAATTTCTGAAGAGGTACTTAATCAGAAGTTTATCACATGATAAGCCTTCAAACTTGTATTAAATAAATTGATGTACATATTTCACAATTTTAAGATGATTGTGTGATGACAGTACACCGACGGTCAACATTCGAATATTCAGCTTGAGCTTCCTCCTAAATGTTACGTATTTCAATTTGAACTTGTAGAATATAACCTATGGATTAAATGTGGGTCTATAAGTATCATTCATGAAATTCTTACAGGCAATTTTCATCCCAGAGTAAGCATGACGCCTTTATACATCCTTCTCACTTGTAGAAAAAAAACTTTTATATATCTACATTCTCTGAAAACACCTTAGGCCTAAAATCATAGTCATGTGATATCAATATATAACACACTGAGATCTAAGGTCAAGATGAGCTTTTGATTCCTTACCTTCTGTACTCATTTGGCAGAAATTGTGTCACTAAAACTGTGATGACACCACTTAAGGTCTTGTCTCTATTGTCTGCAAGAAACTGGTGCTTATATGTCCTATTCTTTCTTTCCACACCATTGGTAGTGTTCACTTTCACATTGAAGCGGTCCTTTGTGTATGCCCAAACCCAGCGCTGCCAATAGAAACAAAGTGTCCAAGTAAACTTCATTAATATAAGCTGCATGTAATCTGATTTTCACCTTGCGGATCTCCTTGTAAGAGCATCTTGGACTCATCTCAGACTCATGCTGAATGATTAATGGCCCAAAATGACATTATCCGAGGAGATGGCCTGTTTGATGTTTAAAGTCAGAGCGACAAGGATTTTAAGTGAACATAATAAGATGTGTGTAATTTTTAAGCCAAAAATCTTGAACTGTTGCTGGATAATTTATTAGGGATGATTCCACAATTATTATAATGTGTGCAAGGGATACGCTTGCCTGTCTTTCGGGAAGCCATGTTGTGTTCATCCACTTTTGGAGTCTTATATTGGTCCTCCACAGTTCACTGTCTTGAAGATCTCTAAGTGCTAAATTGAAGTCCCCTTCTGTGGAAGTTCTTGCAAGGTTTCGCAAACTGTTCAGGAGGTTGTCTTTCTTGTCTTTGTTAATGCCATTCTTTGAGTTGTTGATCCACTATACCCATGCTTGTTCTCGATGGAAATCACAAATATACACAAGACAGCCTGGAACAGTTATAAAACTGAGTTGTAAAATCTCTCTGATAAGAGAATACATGCTGCCAACCATTTCAGCTAACACAAGGCCTATTGTATGCTAAAAATTAAACTACCAACGAAGGGTGCCTAGCATGACCTGTGAGCCATGGAGTAAAAATAATAATACTATTACTACTACTACTACTAAAAATAATACTAATAATGCTAATAATAATAATAATAATAATGCTAGTAATTTATTATTATCATTGTTGTTATAATAGTAACATTGATTTTTTCCAGGAATCTAAAATACACATTGACCCTTTTGTTTCCAAGATCTCAATGTTAATTATCCTTACCATCATCTACACATTTCTTATTTTTTAATTGATTCTAAAAGATTTCCAAAACTTTCTAGGACCAGAAGCCTTTTTCCAGGACTTTCCAGTTGTGGAAATGCCAAAATAAAATTCCGGGACTTTCCAGGTTTTCCAGGACAAGTATGAACACTGTTGATATTTTCATGAAATTAAAGTAATGATTTTGGAATGTCTAGAGAATTACTGGTAATTGGCAATAATTTATTGTCATTATTTTCAGGTTAGTCCTGTAAGAAAGAATTTTTTTTTCTTTTTTTTTTGGGGGGGGGAGAATTTATTCCTAATAAGTATTGCCTCTCTATATTTCCCATATGAAATAAAGAAAATGGTTATAAAATGGTTATTATCGATATTTACCAGTATATGTTTACATGCTTACTTGGAAACAGCCTTTCAATGGCATTGATCTCTGCCTCACTGAAGTCCACCATAAAGAAATCAGGGTTCCATGTTGGGTTCCAGTCCTTAATGAGCTGAAGAGCTTCATTAATGGTATCTGCATTTTCCAGCTGAACCACAAAAGAAGCAACAACACAGTAATCTACATTGGTTTTCACACACAGAAAGAATGTGGGGAGGGCAATTAGCGTGAAGTTTTGTATGTTGCATCCAGTAGGCAAATTTCACCACCATACTTTAAAAGCAGCTCTCTTTGCCACTTCGTCTGGTGAACAAGGAGGAGGTTGTTAGATGGATCACCTATACTTATTTTAATTACATCAGTGCTGTCTTCTTCCTTCAGTGACTGTGGTTGTTGATAGGACTCACTATCACTTGTAAGGCAGTAAGGCCTGAAAAAGAAATTATCATCTGGGCTTTCTTCTTTCCACTTCTTGATTTTTGAGTCAAGGTTTTCTTGATCAATTTGTGAATGTCTGCATACCACTGTGGCACGATACATGTGGTTCCTGATATCCATGATTGTTGGGAAGAACCGTCTGTTGGTTAGATCTGGAGGCTGTTGGCCTGTGAAAAGTTCCTTCTTTACATAATGATGCAGGTGCCGTTGCATTTCAGAAACACAATTAACACCACTTCCAACAAGCTCATGAATTTTTTTAACCAGTGTCTCATCAATAGGCTGAAGTAGCCCAGCAGTCTGATTACACAACAAGAAAGAAAGAATAATTGCTTTATTATTTATTCATTTAAAAAATTACACTACCTCATCCCCAGGTTTTCTTGGTCAATGGTTCAATAACCTGGAGCCGGCTGCTTTTGATGTCATTGGTTCAATATGAGAAAATTTTTTCCAAATTTGGTCAACAGCAGCTGGTTATGATGAAATATGCGAGTGGTTTTAACCTATCAGAAACAGGGAACTATTTTGAATGAATAATAATGCAAATTATACCAACATTACTATAGGCAGTCCTCTGGTAGGGTTTTTCAGTCATAGTTACAGAATGTTATAATTACAGATTACTGAACACTGTATTTTTTAAGAAAATCCATTTAAATAGTCCATGACAGCATTCCATTAAAACAGTGCCGGTGGAAATCCCTCTCCGATAAAATTGTGATATTATAGTCTTGACATTGAGTTTGAGGAATAACTGCCAGTGTAGCTAAAAGAAGCTGTACATGTAGTACATTTAATTGGTCTTTTGTTGTGATGTATAATCTTTATTCATTCTTTATATACATTCCACATGACAGTGGAAGCAGCACAGTCTACAGTAGACTGATGATCTGTGTTAAGTTAAGTCACCTTAAATCCCCCACCAAACTTCAGTTTCCTGATTCCAAAAAAAAATTTAATTGATGGCCAAGTACTTACCCTCCCCATGGGGTGAAATAAGTGATCTGTAGGTTTAGGAAGTAATATGTAAATACGCCCCTCTGTAGCTATTGTTTGCTTCTTTTCTGACTCTAGGGATGTTCTCAGAAATTTTGACATTGTCTCCCTTCTACTCTTTGTGTTCTCTGAAATCTAATGATACAATGTTTTAATTAAAATAATATTTGAAAAATTGGTTTCTTAAATATTCCCTCTGTTTCCATTACAGGTAAATTTGTTTCAATTCTGCACAACGAAATGTCCAGGTTGTCTTATCATATGTCCACTTCACCTACATGTAACACAAGGCCCATTGGAATTAAACACCCTTTATAAGGCTAGTGATCATTCATGTTAATGGTAGTGCCTCCTGAACCCTTATTCAATAATTTAAATAAACTGACCTTATTTTCAGGATGCTTGATTATTTTCCTTAGGTGGATCTTTGCGGGACAGTCACATTTCTTTGTATCCTGTACTATAAGGTGCTGTTTGGTGTTGTTATAGCAGTGATCAGCATTCTCCTTCTGAAACCAAATAGATTTATTGGATTGTTAGATAGAGCAGTCATATGGGAATAGTCAAGTTATCAATAAACTTAGAAGTAATGAAAAGTATCCTTTAAAATAGTACTTGATTCCTACCTTGTAAACTGCAGTCACAGTGGTCCTTTTTTGCGACTTTGCTTATTTTAACAAATAAAATGTGATGTGTCCTTTTTCTTGCAAGTGGTAAAAAAGAAAACATTATTGCATGCTATTAGCCCTGAGGGAGAGGTGAGTGCTCACCAACTTGCTTAGAAAAATCAGTTGGGACTTACCACCTCATTAGCTTAAGAGCAAATAGGTGAAGGTAAATCAATAACTATGTAATGCCCTATATATGATATCCTCTTTGGGAGTCCTTAAGTAATAATATCATCTTGTTTACATTCTTATTTAGTTAATTATTATGCATGCTTACATCTTTTTGTAGTCTCTTTTGAGCCTCCTTCCTTTTGAGTGCCTTATTTCTGTCTGGCCCATTTTGGCATTCTAAAACTTTGACCCCCATCAAAACTTAGTCTGCATCCTGTCATCTCCTGTGAGTCAGCCCATTGTATACAGTGGTTCTTAGCATTTTTATCTGCATTTTCTTTTACTCCTACGTTTTTATGTGAGAAGAGGAACTGAGCTAAGTTAGCAATACAATACATGTACACAAACACATACGTACATATATACAAATGGGTGCTTAAAATGGAGGGCCTGAAAATCAAGCCTGCCCCACCCAGATGTAGCCCAAGGACTGGTGTAATGGATGGGGCTGCTGGCAGCTGTGTGTCAATAGCACTGAGTAGGGTTTTGACACTTAAAGCTTAATCTTAATTAATTAAGCATTTCTTGCCAACTCTTGCTGCAGGCTTACAGTAAATTGACACTTGAAGCTAAGTTGAATTTTAATTACATTTTAATTTTGAAGGTCTAACTGACCAGTGTAAACCGAAGAATAATGATGTGTACTTGTATTCTTAAGATATCAATAATTATTGGAAAAAAGTTAAATCCCTTTTTTTATTTTGATTTATCTTTATTTCATGTTAATAACACGATCTCACACGCCCCTGGCTTTAAATACCTATAGTGTCTAAATAAAGTTATACTTCACTTTACTTTACTGTCAGTATGGTTTGTTTTGTAAATTTTTACATGTGAGCTTACTTACCCAGCCTACTGCAATTTGAAAATTCTCCTGTTTGTAAAATACAGTGAACCGTGTCGTCGTAGGTATCTCGTACTGTTTTATGAGTTCGTCAGCGCTGCTTTCATCGTTAACATACCCGGAATAAGGGTCAAACTGTACGGTCCATCTTGAAGCCCAAGGTGTACTGTTATCAGCCATGTTTGTTCTTCTACCAAACATTTAGATTTCCCGCCAATATTTACCCGCGAGCCGCAAAACATAAATGCATGAGTGTTAAAAATTAACTGGACCACCCCTTGGCAAATATATTTATTAGTAGCAAATAAGATGTTGAACAAAAACCAAGAGATCATGGTCAAATAAAACGTAAAGATAATTTATTACAAACAGAAAAGAACTGTATGTTTTTTCCAATCGAAAGATTTTACAGTGCAAAGTTGAGCAAATGATCTTTGACCTGAATCTGCTTTTGGTCGATGATAACGAGGTCAGAGGATAACATCGACCGAAACTATTAGGCCGGTCATATTTAAGTGTCGATCCTCCTTTTAACGCCTTTATAACAGGCTAGATTTTTTCTTAAATATGTGATCTAGACAGAAATTAGTTTGTACAAGTTATGGGAAGAATACTTTCGCAATAAAATATTGAAGAACACGACGCTTTATCGTCAGTCACACAGGTCGCGGTCTCTTGATTCGCCGGAAAAATAGAAGACTCCCGCTACGATTCCGCTGACGTGTCATGGGCTCATCTGGTTTGGGACGATGATATGTATTGCCCTAGAGGTGTTGTCAATCAATCAGATCGACCGAAACCAGGTCGACAACTTACGAACCAGCCAAACATTTCGTTAACAGCGCCATCGATCAAAATGTTATTACATTCCAACAAAAGACCCGCTTTTCTGTTCAAATCTGCCAGAAACTGGCTCAAACGCACTACGCGAACTTCCTATTCCATGAGTACACTGTAAATACGCTTCAACAAGAATAAGCGGGAGTCACGTTGTAACATGCGGATACTCATACAAGATACCGGTGCAGCGCTCTACCAATTGAGCTAACAAGCCAATTGGTAGAGCGCTGCACCGGTATCACAGAGGTCATGGGTTCAAATCCCGCACGGGCCTGAAAATTTTTTTCAGGTCCTACTTACAACTACTAGTTTCAGTAGTGTTCTTAGCTGCGAGGATCTTCTAATTTCATCTTTCCACCGCTGTGCAAATATGTGAATTTTCATATATCTAAATCTTCATTCACTCGGATGTTTATTTGTACCCAATTCATTGACCCGCTCCCAGTTGGCTTGTTAGCTCAATTGGTAGAGCGCTGCACCGGTATCGCAGAGGTCATGGGTTCAAATCCCGTACGGGCCTGAAATTTTTTTCAGGTCCTACTTACAACTACTAGTTTCAGTAGTGTTCTTAGCTGCGAGGATCTTCTTATTTTGAGCTGTTAGTATTGTCTTACTCTAAAATTCTTAGCCAGACATTCTATTACATGCTACCAAAAAACACAAACAAACAAACAAACAAAACGTTATCACACTGCAATGCGGCCAAAATGAGATATTTTGTATGATTTCATCAAACTGCCAGATCAACTGTGTCAGATAAATTTGGAAATAGGCAACATCACTAGGACATAACCGAGGCAAATTTTACCAGTCATATATGAAATAACCCTTGTAATGAGAATATTGCTTCATTTTCTTTTTACCAATGTTTTCAGAATGGCATAAGATGTCTTCGTCAGATGTTTCCACAACAAGATGAGGACTATCTAAAAGAAATATTCAGTGGTTCTTTAGACCTTCCAGATGCAATTTCCAAGAGCCCACGTGTCTTTTGATCAGCAGGAAGACAAAGAGCTCTGGAATAATCGATTTCTAGTCCAAGGTTTTAGGACTTTTTCACAGCGCATGCGTTGGCACTGACCAAAAGACATGTGGGCTCTGTGAGTGAGATTGTAAGAAATACGCATGAACACTTAAATCAGTTGAAATGTTTTCTTTCATTTTGAGAAATGAGGGTGGTTACACACTTTGACTGGGTTTGATATAGGAGTTTCCAGGGTATTACCACATACATGCCCCACAGTATCACCATAAAGCTAAGTGATGATACACAGGATGGAAGAAAGCTGAAACATTATTTGTCTTTTTTAGCAGTTTCTCTTGCAGAAGTACTACAAAGTCTTGCTGACAAGGTTATTACAGGTCCTGAAATTAAGATCACCATTGACTCAGATGACCTTATAGCTGATACTATTGCATTCTACAAAAATTCTACTGCCTTTGATGCTTCTAAGCGTGTTAGAGTGCAGTATAAGAGCCAGCCAGCTGTTGACACAGGTGGAATCCGTCGTGAGTTTTT